AGATGAAAGTTGCATTTCCAAAATCAGAATTATTAAAAAAAAAAAAAAAAAAAAAAAAAGGAGGGGGGAGGGGGAATGAACATTTGCAAGTTATTAAAACTCCAAAATTATTAAACATAAAGGCTATTAAATGTGAATTAAAGAATAGTCCTCCCAAAAAAAACTCTTTCCTAGTATAAGTTATTGCTAAATTATATGTAAAGTTGAATGTTCTCTTTCAAATAGAATTCACAAATCAGTAAGGTAGGCTTTAAATGCAGGAATTAAGCACTCTGGAGTCAAAAGATGTTTTACTTTGTATCATTGTGACTGTTACCATCATTTCCCATCCTATGAACAAGGCAAAAACAAGGCATGAACAGGCAATGAGGCAAGAGCACATCACTAAATCAAGCTTACAGAAAACAATGGCAGCATCAAAATAAGGGGAATTCCCCTGGACCTGCTTATGGACACACTCCCGAAAAACTTCTTCCTCAAGAGCATCCCCTATTAAAAACGCTGAACCAAACTAGAAAGCTGGTCTGTGCACAGTATGGATCACACAGTATACATACAATTGTGGCATTAAATATAAACCAAAGAAAAATATATAAAATTTGTAAGATCAGAAAGCCATATTTCATGTAGAATCTTTAAGGAAATAAGATGTCCTGGCAAGGTGGCTCAGTTGGTAGGAGTATCGTCCATACACCACAAGGTTTGGGCTCAACTCAGTCAGGGCCCGTACCTGGAGCTTGCAGGTTCTATCCCCAATAGGGCAAATACAGGAGGCAACCTTTCGATGTTTCTTTCTCTCTTTCCCCTTTCCTCTCTCTTTCTCAAATCAATAAAACATACCTTGGATGAGGATTTTTTTTAAAAAAGAAAAGAAGATAATGTGAGTACCACTACATTTGAAATCCAAAAAATTTAGATTTGTAGTTTCCTACCATTCATTTGTTAAACATGCTAGTTTATATTTTTTAAGCAATCTTACCCAGAACAACAATGCATTAAAAAAAAAAAAATAAAGAAAGAAAAGAAAGAAAAAAAAAGCAATGACTAAGTTCCTCAAGTACTTTGGTAAATATATCTTTATTCTGGCCAGCATGGCTCAGTGGTTGAACACCGACCTATGAACCAGAAGGTCACAGTTCAATTCCTGGTCAGTGTACTTGCCTGGGTTGCAAGCTCAAACCTCACTGTGGGATGTGCAGGAGGCCGCGGATCAATGATTCTCTTTCATCATTGATATTTCTACTTCTCCCTCTCCCTTCCTCTATGAAATCAATCAATCAATCAATCAATCTAATAATATATCTTTCTTTTGCAACTCTTCAGTAAGTGTCAATTTCTATAAAAATGTACCTATTACTCAAGCCCCCAGAACTCTGAGAGTCAACAGTGAATGCATAATACTAACACTGCACATTTTTCTGGACTACACACCATGATGTCTTTCCTTTTGGGTATACTGGCTCTGCTCCAATGGGTCCCAGTTATGTCCTTCGATGGGCTCTTCAAAGGAATTAAATAGTGTAATAGAAAATAAAAAAACACAAATTACAAGCGTATTAAAATTATACTGAGGTCATTGACACATGACCAGGAACTAATACATACAACAGTAAAAATCTCCACAGTGAGAAATCCAATGTATCCCTACTGCTCTCATGCAAGATCGCCTCATTTTCTAATTTTGGATGTCTACCTTACAGTAGTTCAGTATATAAAGCAATGACCACGTTGCTTTTTAAGGCAGATTGTTTTTTAAAGCAGCAAACTGTTTCAATTTTAAACTCAAGACTTTCATTTAATCCTCCCTCCCCTAAACCTACCACTCACGGTTTTGAACTAGGTTCGCTCTTTTTATTTTTATACAGAACGCTTATAGCGAACCCAGCCATTTCCAGCCCAAACAGCTTCTGGCAGACCACCTCTCAAGAAGGTAGTGACTTAAAGATAATTGTACAAGAGGAAACATCAAAGTCCTAAGAAAACAACATAACCACATCTGCTTCACAGCCCGGTACTTCTAACATTCATATATCAAATACAAAGTCCAAAGGTGCTAGACATTTAAATACACAGCTCATGAGAAAAATATTTTTTAAAAGACAGGCAGAGAAATACCAAAATACCAAAATTTAAGCAAAGTCCAATAAAATTTAGGTCAGTACTTTAGGCCATCACATTTATTTTTACAGAGAATAAAATTTGTCTACTCATTCAGCTTAATGTAGATGGTAAAGATAATTTAAAAAGCAAATAATATGATGAAAAACTTAGACCTTTCAATATTATCTAGTTAAAAGGAAAAAACTAATCTTAATTATATCTTTTAAACAATGTTATTAGTGAGCTTTCAGACTTATTGTGTAATATTTAAAATGTGCTGATGCCCTGGCTGGTCTGGCTAAGTGGATAGAGCATCAGCTTGCGGACTGAAGGGTCCTGGGTTCGATTTCAGTCATGGGCACATGCCCAGGTTAAGGGTGGATTCCCAGGATGGTGCATGCAGAAGGCAACTGATCAATGATTCTTTCTCATCATTGATGTTTCTAGCTCTTGCTTCCTCTCTGAAATTAAAAAATAAAAAAGTGCTGAATATACACACAAACAGTATAGTACTACAATCTCCTACAGTCTAAATTTCAATTTGTATTTATTATTATGTTGTATTAATTCTTACCCAAGGATAATTTCCATTGATTTTTAGAGAGAGTGGAAGGGATGGGGAGAGACAGAGAAAGACACATCGACTGGTTGCCTCCTGCATGCACCCTGACCTGGGTTAGGGATGGAGCCTGCAACCTAGGTACACGCCCTTGACTGGAATAAAATCTGAGACTCTTCAGTCCATGGGCTGACACTATACACTGAGCCAAACCAGCTAGGGCTAAAATTTTTATTTATATTTAAATTTGCACACTGAATTTTTTTTTTATAAGAAATTTACTCTTTTTCCCCACAGTAACAATTTTTTCATAATTATCATAATGAACAAAATAGTTTGAGAGTTTTAGTTATAACCTAAATGTATTTAATAATATAATTTCCATAAAAAGAAAATCAACTCATTACTTTATAGACACTCTGTATAAATAATTCCCTATCAGTTTACTTTAAAATTTCTTTTTTGTTTGCAGATTTATTTTAAAGGCTCCCAAATTAGGTCAAATTTGAATGATTTTATCAAAGGTTTAAGCAAATAAACCTTTGATAAAATGTTATTATATAAAACTTATTATAATCAAGTTTCCCTAAGAACACATACAAATTACACTAACAAAAGAAAAGATGCCTATTGACCGTACTTTCGTGATGCCCACCAGCCAATCAGGAGTGAGTATGCAAATTAACCCAACAAAGATGGCAAGTAATTTGCATGCATAGGCACGGGGGCAGCCAGGGATGGGACGCAACACCCCAGCTGCACTGGGCCTCTGGGCAGTGTGGGAAGGCGGAAAGGCAGCTCCAGGCCCAGAGCAAAGGCAGAAAGGTGGCTCTGGCCAGAGCAAAGGTAGTGCCAGCAGCCAGGGGAAGGAAGGCCCTTCTTGCATGAATCTTCATGCATCGGGTATCTAGTTTATAAATAACCAGCTTGATAATAACTGTGTGAAACTTCATCTATGAATATTATAATAGAAAGCAAAGGGAAAAAGCCAGACATTTTTAAAAAGGAGGTGAAAAGGGATTATTTTCAAAGCCCTCAAAAACATTCAACTTCTAATCTTTTGTTGACTAATCCCTGTGTGATTCTTCTCAAAGTATGTGTGTGCACACATTTAGATATGTATATGTATAATATACACATAGGGATACACACACACACACACACACACACACACACGTATCTCCAGGGAGAAAGATGACAAACTTATTACCTTAAAGTTTTCCTCCTATAAAATCATTCTAAAACTGCTGATAAGATTTGTATAAAGGCTTGTTAATATTATTATAAATCTAAACGTTCATAATTAACCAAAATACCTGATTCAAAAACTGGCTTACTAACTTATCTAAAAAGACAGATTACACTCACCAAAAGTAATATAACCAGAGTAAAGAATTATTTAAGAATACAAACACATCAATAACTAACATACTGGAACATACTCAGCCTTATTACAGTATATTTTTAGACATTATATAAGATGGGAAGAAAATTAGACTTAGGGGGATATAAATAAATAGAGACATTAATATGATAGATCATTTTACTGATGAAACATCATTGTGTTAAATATACCAATGTGCACATTAAAAGAATTTCTTTAAAGTTTAAAGCACAAATCTTTTAAGAGAGAGATCAGTGTCTTGGCACAATATGCAAGCCTTTTTAACAAGCGATGTCTCATATATCTTAATAAACAATAATGCATGTTAAAAACTTAAGACATACTATCAAATGTTAATCAAAACGTTGAAGCATGATAATTTCTATAAACATGACAAGCAGGAATTTTTCAAATCAGTAGCTCAATTTTTCCATGTAATAAAACTATAATTAGTCACCCAAACTTCAAAATAGTTATCATTTAATAAATTATTTAAAAAATATATTAATCACTTCTTCGCCTTTTGGCCTATGCATCTGTTCTTAGCAAGTTTAACATCTGATACATCCTCTATACGAGGACAATGTATTAATGGATTTTTGAAGCAAGGAGAAAAAAATTTTTTTAAATGAAAGTAGGAAAAATTTGAAAGAACCATGCAGATGTCATTCTATAAAATCAACCTTATTATTTTGCAATAATTTTTTTAAATCAAGTCCTTTTATAAAAAAATAGATGAAAATATTTATGATTTTTAGCATTGATTTTTTAGCAATAATTTGAGAGAAAGCATCAGTTTCCAATGGAAGAACTTTGCCAATATTTTCTTTAAAAAAAAAAAAAAGGCAAAGGGAAAAAAAGGCAAAGGAATATATGAGCATAATCAGATTGCTTAGCAATGGTGCTGCAGAAAGCTCAGACATATAAGCTTTGCTATTGTGTAAACAAAATACCAACCCTGTGACTGCCAAGACTTCGAATGGACAATGCATCCTCAACTCCCTGATAAAAATAAAAACAAAAGTTTGTGAGTGACTGCGTTAAGTTAGTGAGGAAAAAGTACTAGAGGCAAGTTTATAGGTTATTACAAACCAGAGAAGGACGGTGATGACTGGACCGGTGGGAATACCTGGCCCTTTCTGAATCTTCCTGGGAAAGGAGAAAGTACATGGAGAATTAATCACCGAACAGAGGACTGTCTATCAGAACCACTGGGTGAAGGCAAGTCAGTTCAGAGCACAGCGCACATTCCTTACAGCAAGCAGGTATGAACAACTCGGTTTCAAAAGCTGAGTCTGGGGCAGCCACATGCTTCAGTTGGAAAGAAATTAGAGAGATCATCTCGGAAATGTTTTTATTTTAATAAGTTTATGTATGCCTGACCGTTTGTAGAATGTAATCTACATATGACAAAAAACAGCTCAATATACCAAGATAAAAATAAGAAAGTATTCTTAAACAGGAATTGAGTTTAGCATTAAAAAGTAAACTTTTTATCTGTTTGTTTGTTTTTTTCCATTGTGAATGTTACTTTATGCAAGGCAAGAAGAAAGGTTTATTTGTTAGAGGTGTAGTAAGGAGACAGTGTATTGCTTTTAAAAAATTTGGGTCATAATTTTCTTCTCACTGCAAAGAATTTCTTTTTTTCCTTCTCTGGGAAAGAATAGCTAAATGAAATAGCCCCTGAATATGTATTGTTAATGCAAAAAACTACTTATAATTAGAATTGGATAAACATTTTAAAATTGATAAAGTTAATAAGAGGTATGCCTTATGAAGATTGCAAAGAAAACTGGCCATAACCTAACAGATGACTAAATGAAAGGCAATTCTCAAATTTTCCATTCAGTTATTAGCACTGGAGCATTAAATCCTGAGTCATGTGAAATCAAATAACTAGTCCCTAGAATCTAACCAAGTGAAACAGTACGAAACTTCTGATATTTCAGATTTTCAAAGTCCAAAGTATTAAAGTGATTTGCATTGACTAAGGTATATACACAATTGGTCCAAATGAGGTCATAGTTGATAACAGTGATGAATCAATATCTCAAACACCCTGTGACCATACAACATGATCATTATGCAGGTATAACAAATAGATGTGGCTATGTCTGATGATTCATTTCAAATACAGAAATAGGAATTCAACTAAAACACCACAATTAATGCCTTATTTTAGTCATGACTTCGAGTATAATTGCAAAACTCTCCTGTCTGTCATCTGCTGTGTACATTGACACATTTGATCAAATCTGTTCAGAAGTCTATTTATAAGCAGCATATGATTCAATAAGTTAATATCCAATGGGATTTTCTGATCTTTAGGAAAATTCATCAATGATTTACATTTCTGTTATATAACAAACACAGGTAATCTATAAGAAGCCAAGGAAAATTCTTCCTTTTCTTCAACTATCAGGAGATACCACAAAAGTTTTGGGGCATATGCATTAGCCCAGCAGAAGAGATACAGTTTACTAAGTAGTGACTAGTTCTAGACTAGTTAGCTTGGTTAGTTTAAAGAGCCTGTGCTACAAAGGCAAATTAATCCTACATGCCCTCTCCCAACATTATTTGGGATACTAGCAGGACATACATGGTTTAATGTTCAGCCTTCATTTTATTCTGTCCTTTCTTTTTATTCCACCTACCACACAAGAGCACTTTTTAAAAACCTACCTCAAAAAAGCACATCCCACTAAAGATATGAAGTGAAAACATAGGTAAGAACATTAAGACAATGTTCACATACAGAACACTCAAAGTAAGCTTCATTCCTGAGCCTCATGCCCTTGCTTTCCCTTTTCACATTTCATCATCCCACCCCTGCACACACAAAAAAGGATTAAAATTAGAAATGTTTTCATATGGGAAGATTCTCCTTTTAATAACTGACAATCCTATTGTGTGTGTGTGTGTGTGTGTGTATAACTTATTTTATTACAAATTTATTAGTAATTTATGTTTCACTGTATCATATGCCAACTTCTACTACAGGTTCATTGACAGAAAGTATCTAGAGAGACTAAAATAAGATAAAAAATGAGATGAAATATCAGTTTGAAAGGAGTAAAAGCAAGTGTCAGAAGTGATAATTACCCTGTCTGAAACCAAATCCCATCTTCTCTGCATACCCAAGTCTGAGCTATCATTCAAAACTTGGGTTAGCTGCCACCTGCATCTAAGCCTCTAACCCAAATTGTTCCCTCTTCCATGAAAATCTAGCACACTCACTGCCTGAACTGCACACATTTCACAGAGATGAAACTATGTTATCTTCATGGCCTCTGAATATAGAAATCAAATATTAAACTTTTAATATAGGCTTTTTGCTTATAATGTTTTGGTCTGCCCAAAGATATTAAAATCTTAGGCAATTTAATTTTAGAACTATAATACATAATTAAAAGAAGAAATTAAACTACTATTTCTATAGAAAATTTGCAAGCAAAAGTGATTTCTTTTATTCACACAAAATATTCTCAACGCACCATTAGTAATATTAATCCAGTTACATGCAGAAAATACTTTGCAGATTCCATTCCCAATCAAACATCTATTTTCTCTCTTTCCTAAAATACCACAAGGAGAAGTATGACAAAGTTTTAAATTCATAGGTCAATATAATCATAATTATTTTAATTCCAGTGGTACTCTAAAATGCTGCTATAGAAAGAATTGTCTTATAAAAATTGCTGACTTAGCAATAATTAGACAGTAGTTCTTAACCCTTTAGGGATCACAGTCCTTTGAGTATCTGATGCAAAAAATACATATATATTTCCCCCAAAAGAATTTTGTGTGAGATTTTATGGCTTTATGCCCCAAGCCTATTCACATACCAAGTTAAGAACCCCTACAATAGGAGACGATTGGGGAACTCATCAACATTGAAAACAATTCAAAATTAGGAATGATTCACAGTAACTAATATTCACAATTTGCTCTTGTAGCGGGAGTCGTGGTAGAAGACTTGAAATGAAAATGAGATTACTGAAAAACTAAGAGTAATTTTCAGAGGAGATGGAAGAAAGACTCTCAGTGAAGACCCTACTAACTTAGTGTATAAGAGAGAGAGAAAAAGAGAGGAGAAGAAGAAAGAATAGGAGGAGGAGGAGGAAGAGAACAGGGAAGGAAGGAATAGGGAGCAAGAGTCAGGGGGAGAGGAGGAGAGAGGGAGAGAGGAACAATTGAAGGGAAAGAAGAACAAACCCATAGAAAGAAAAAAAAATATTCATCTACTCAATCTTTCTTGGTCAGTAGTATTCCTTAGATGAGTGTGAGATTGTGGACTACAACAGAAAGGGTCCCAAGTACAAATTTTGATCATTAAAGACAGAAGAGAGAATCTCTGACCTTTAGGTTCAAACATGCCAACCGCTTCTACTTTGCAAACTATTAGTCAATGTTTTACTTCAAGATTGCATTATTTCAGCAAGTGATCACAACATGCAGGACAGGCAATCCTGGCCTACCAGCCACTTGTGAATCTGTCCCCACTTCCGATCAGAGGAATGATGAGAATGCTACAAATGCAAAAGTTTCATAAACTAAAGAGTTTCCAAGAATTACTGTGTTCTCGGAAAAGTATTAATCTTATACATTTGCCCTGAAGTGCAGATTGATGACTCAAAGTTACACATTCAAAATACAGAAAATTACTAAGCTAAATATGTTCAATAATAAGAGACATATGTTCTCTGTTGTTTAGAGGACCATAAATAAAAGTTATATTTAATAATTATCTCCTTATAACTTACTATAATTTTTGGAGTATAAAAGAAAATGCATTGCAACATTTTCGTTTCAAGCCAAGAACTGCATTCAATATTTAAAACTATATCTGAGGTTAAAAAATATTACAATATATTAGCAATTTTGCTTTGGTTTTTAGCTGTAACAATATGGAAATTATACACTTCTCTTAATCCATTAGCAGAAGATAAACCACCAAGGTCAAAATAAAGTGCTTAATATTACTCTGTAGGTTTTCCCCCCTTTGTATTAATACAGCATCATAAATATTTTTATGGGAATTTTCAGAGCTAGGTCAATGTCAGAGGAAAGGGTAAAAAAAAAAAAAAAAAAAAAAAAAGAGCATTTGCTTCATTTTTAAGAAGCCAAATCTCTATATAATCTATTTGTAAATTTTGATTTTGCTTTCCTTTCTGATGATAAAAGCATACTGAAATTTATTAACTATGGAAAAGTATAAGAAAGTAAAATCAATCATAATACCACCACAGACAAAGTATTGATAGTAACCACTTCTTTCTAGTAGTTTTTGATCCTATATATGGGTACCAGGCTGTGTAACACAACACTGGAGTCCTACAAGTCTTACAGTTAGGTGCTTTGTTGTTTTTCATTTTCTTACACGAATATTCTCTTCTGTTATTAAATATGCTTTAAAACTATAAGGTTGAGTAATGTCTCAGAGCTTTACTGTGTAGATATAATATAATTAACTGAAATTCTAGATTTAGAACTATAGTGAATAACATAGCAGGAGTTATATGTGTTTACTGTTATTTAAAACAAATATCACATTTAACTTGGTGATGTATAATGGATTGTTAAGATATATACAACACGTTACACTCTTCCCAGTGTTTCAAAGGAAATTAGATTTACTTCAGAAGTAAATTAACAAAGTGTGTGTGTGTGTGTGTGTGTATATATATATATTTTTTTTCTTTTTTTTTTTTTTTTGAGACTAGCAAGAAATTAGTTATTCCCCCCAATTACCTCTTTTTGCTGTCGTTCCAGTTCTCTCATACGTATATCTCTTGCTTCTGCCCGGGCAGCCCGTTTTGCTGCTAGCCTTGCCTCTGCCTGAAAAGTAATATAAAGATTCAGCTTTGTTTAAAAAGAGCAACCACCACTACTTCTACCCCAAGGTGGAGAAAAGGAGCAAATAAGACATGACTTTCTTGTTTGGGGTGTGGATAGGGGAGGGCAAGATATCCACTATCAGCAATTTGACCGACTTCAGTCAACTCCTTACACACTCATTTCTCTCTCTAGGCCCAGAGTCTCTCCTAAAATCTAGGCCTTCACCTTTAACTGCTTGCCTTGACTACTCATTCTAAACATTTCACACAATTCATTATGTATCTCTCCAAACTTGCTTTTCCAGAATGTCTTTCGCTAGCAATTGAATCATACAAACTAGAAACATCAGCATAAACCTCTATTTCAGTTTGCACATTGCCAATGTTCAGGCCCAAGTATTGTCAATTCTCTACGTCTGAGTTTCTCGCAAACCTATCCTGGCTTTTTTTGAATTCTGCTGTTTCTGCTTGTCTCAGGAACTCTTCATATGTCTCTCTCTTTAAATAGAGATATAATTCACATATTATCAAACTCACCACTTAAAAATTTGGTTCTGTCGTGTGTTTTTTAGTATATTCATGAGGTTGCACAACTATCACTACTAATTCCAGTAATTGCCCACATGTACCGGTTGCTCCCATCTGGGGCCATTCCTAGGCTCCACTGGGCTTTATTTAAGTCTCTCTTCACTTGATAGGAGGTATTTTCTCCTTTTCAGCTAAAATAGTACCTTCTCCTTGGTTGCGGGCATATCCCCAGTAGGGGGTGTGCAAGAGGCACCTGATCGATGACTCTCTCTCATCGATGTTTCTAACTCTCTATCTCTCTCCCTTCCTTTCTGAACAAAATCAATAAAAATATATTTAAAAAAATAAAATAAAATAGTACCTTCTATGAAGGCCCGATCCCCTCTTTCATCGAGTAATACTGTGTGCTTATGCCTCTATTGTGGCTTTACTATGCTGCATTCAAGTGACATGCTCTGCCACCTCACAACTTGCGTGCCTCAATGTCTGCTAAGTAAACAAAAGGATTGCAAGCCACCAGCCAAAGTCTCAAGGAAATGAGACCAGGAAATAGCTTGATGCACCACATGAAACAAAAACCTTCTCTCTGGTTTCTAACTTGTAGTGGTTTCCTCTGTTTTTGGCCACATCCTAACTCTGATTTCAATCTCCACTTCTGACATCTACGGCAGTTGTTTCTTCTCATTGGTTATATCCGTGTCCAAGCCTCATACTAAGAAGTGGCTCAGCAATGTTAAAAGGGTCTACTGTGTGTAAGCTATTAAGCCAAATGCTAAAAATACAGAATAAGATATGACATCTCTGCCCTAAAGAAATTTACAACCTAACTGAGGGAGACAGAAACACAATGTTTAAAAGGAGAGAAGCATGCAAGAGGGAGCAATTAAGTTACGCCTGGCAAGGTCATAGCAGGCTTCTAAGAGGAGGAGACAGTTTAATAGTTAACACTTATTCAACTACACAATTTTGGAAATTTCCTAGTCTGCTTAACTGGCCTTTCAGTAGCAAAAACCCTAGGAAGTTACTTAAGTCTACCAACCTCAAGGTCTAAACACTGACATAAATTTTACATTGGCCTCTCTATCTCTTAAAAACCTATATCCCACCCTGGCCAGTGTGGCTCAGTTGGTTGGAGTGTCATCCGTATAACAAAAAGTTGCAGGTTCGATCCCCAGTCAGGACACATATCCAGGTTGCAGGTTCGATCCTCCGTCAGGGGGAATGTGAGAGGTAACCAATTAATGTTTTTCTCATATCAATGTTTCTCTCTTTCCCTCACTTCCTCTAAAATCAATTAAAAATAAAAATAAGACTATATCCTCACCTTCCTTTATATATTTTAAAGAATGCCCTGCCTTCTCTATCCCTCTGACTAAGCACCACTTTATTACTAGAGTTTGTATTTTATAGAAAGACAAGTCTAAGTTAGCTAGCAAATACATTTTTAAATTACAAAGCATCATTTTCCGGGGAAAATTTTTCAAACCTCTTTTTCTAATTTAAGAAAGACATAATAGTGTGTAGTTTTCATTTCCATGTATATTAATTAGCTTTGTACTTGTAGCCTCCCTTAGAAATTTATCAAGAAGGCCAATTTCTTCCTTCTAATATCTGCAGCCAATTCTGCACAATAGATACTAAAACGGGACTTTCCTCAACAAACCATAATTATAGATCACTGAAATCTATTCTTGAACAAAACCACTTTTACAACGAAAGGGAGAGGAACCTGATTACTGTGTATCAGAAAGAACGTGGATTTCAGGGCCACAAAAACACCCTTTCTCTCCCTTTCCCTCACTTAGCCAACTTGACCAAAACTCAGATGTTACTTCCCTTGGACATGGTCCTGAAGAAGGCCCCTGAACAGCCTGGTTCTTTAGATAGATGCTACCAGATGCCTAAGGCAGTGTGGATAGGAGAGTCCAATCTAGCAGACAAAATGCGTGCTCTACACTTACATTCTGTCATTTTCAACCTCTTCTATCTCAAGGCACATATAAACTAGTTTTTAAATTCTGCAGCACACCAAAAAATATATTTTTTGCCCATCTGACAAAAAAGTAGGTATAATTTTGATTCATTCATTGTTGAGATGTTGGCTGATGTCATTTTTTATTTGACAATCTAAGGAAAAGAGGTCAGTGCCCCTGACTAAATAATCAGGTGTTGTAAGTTTAAAAAATTCTTGCAGCACACCAGTTGAAAATTGCTGCTTATAAAAAGAAAAACAAACAAAAAAGCCAACAAAACAAAACAAAAAGAAAATTCCTGCTTATAATGATACATTCTTATACAGACCGATTATAGCTACACAAAGCGTACTTCGAGGTAATAACATTAGAATTCTCCCCTAGGAATACAATAGCATGAAAGAGCTGCTACAAATTTAACATCTACCTCACAAATGTAAAATAAATGGGACATCACAATAAAAGACCACAAAAATTTACCTAAGTTCAAAACAAAGTTGGATAAAAAATTAAACATGGAATTGCCATTTGATCCAATAATTCCACTTATGAGTACCTAGACCAAAGAACTGAAAGCAAAGATTCAAACAAATATTTGTAAACCGATATTCATAAGCAGCATTATTCATAAGAGTCAAAAGGTGGAAACAACCCAAATGTCCATCAACAGATGAATGGATAAACAACATGTGTTAGCCGAAGCCAAAGCTGAAGCCGGTTTGGCTCAGTGGTAGAGCGTCGGTCTGCGGACCGAGAGGTCCCAGGTTCAATTCTGGTCAAGGGCATGTACATTGGTTGCGGGCACATCCCCGGTAGTGGGTGTGCAGGGGGCAGCTGGCCGATGTTTCTCTCTCATCAACATTTCTAGCTCTCTATCTCTCTCCCTTCCTCTCTGTTAAAAATCAATAAAATATATTAAAACAAAAACAAAAAAACATGTGTTAGACATGTGTATGGAAAAGGGTGCTGTAATAAACCATAAATTCCTTACTGAACAGGTCACGTCATGGTAGGTAGTCAGTCATGCCACAGCCCTGTAACTCCTTTAGTCAAAGGTTTTTAAGCAAATCCTATCTATTGTTCTTGCGCATCCAGGTGAACATACCTTTGAAATGCGAGAAGTAATACCCTCCAAGGCGTGTAACCTCGCTGAAGAGAGCACATAATCTGGTTAACTATCATGTAATCCAATCCCACTTTGCTTTCTTCCACCTTCACATAATCTTTCTTATATTCCCTCCTTAATTCTAAATGCATAGAAGAAACTGAAACTGTTACTCTGGGGAGCATTTGAAATCTTGCTCCCCAGCATATGTTATTAGTTTTGACTCAAACTCAAAAATTTACCATAGGTTTGAGTGTTTTTACATAGCTATACAGGCACATAGGATATTATTCGGCCTTATAAAAAAAAGAACAGCTCAGCAGTTCCTCAAAACATTAAACACTGACAATAATATCCAGCAACCATCTCTAGATATGCACCTAAGAGAAATGAGAACATATGTCCACACAAAATCTTGTACATGAATGTTCATTAGCAGCATTATTCATAATAGTCTAAAAATATTAAAACAAGCCAAATGTTCATCAACTGATGAATGGATAAACAAAATGTGGTATTATCCATACAATGGAATATTATCCTATCTAATAAAGAGGGAATATGCTAATTGACTGCCACACCCTCATAAAGATGGTGGCGCCCACAGCCAATAAGGAGGGAATATGCTAATTGACTATCATACCCCCAAAGATGGCGGTGCCCAGTCCCCTCAGCCCTCTAGCCACCCAGGGTCAGCCCAAGCCACAGGCAAGTCTGGGATGGCAGCTGCCTAGTCGCCCAGGACAGCTCAAGGCTCAGGCAACCAGAGCTGGCCAAGGCTTGCACTGCAGGCAGTGGCAGCAGCAGAGGTGTGATGGGGACGTTGCCTTCCCAATTGCTAGGTCGCCTCCCGCACCTGAGGGCTCCTGGACTGTGAGAGGGTGCAGGCCGAGCTGAGGGACTCTCCCCACCTCAGTGCATGAATTTTCATGCATCAGATCTCTAGTTCAACTATAAAAAGAAAAATGACAGAGGCAGACGACAACATGGATGACCTTAAAAACATGCTAAGTGATAAAAGCCAGACACAAAAGGATACATATTGCATAATTCTATTTATATAAAATGTGCAGAACAGATAAATCCAGAGGCTGAGACATGGGGAACAAGGAGCGTGATTGTTAATGGTTATGAAGTTTCTTTTTGTGCTGATAACATGTTCTGCAATTAGAAAGTGGTGAGTTTTGCAAATATATTTGTAAATATATTAAACACCACTGAAATTGTATACTCCAAAATAATGAATTTTATGATATTTAACTTATATCTCAATTTTAAATTTTTAAACAAAGGGTACTGGGTACATAAAAAAAATACATTGCTGAAGATAAACTAATAGTAAAATATGCAAAATTTCAGTACATAAAATTCAATATATAAAACAGGGAAAAGGAA